GCGTAGGAATTTTAAAAAACTCATCATTTTAATTATGGCATGAGTCTTTGTTTGCCTTGATCTTTTTAGGCTGAAAAATGTCAAAGAAAAGGGAACACTACAAAGCTATGCATAATAATGTTTTACTTCCATTCTGAAATGTCATCAGTGTATCCTCTTTCTGGAAGGTCTCTTACCTTTCCACAAAATATAGAATCAGCAAAGCCAAAGGAATGTTACATGTTACCCAACCTGAAAATACATCCGGTAGTGTGGCTTCTTCTCAGGGGCAGATTAAATTGCAAAAGGCTGGAACTTCAGCAAAATCTGGATATGTCCCAATATAAATGCTTTGTATTTTCAGGATGGGAGAAGGGCCCAACTGTTCTGTCTGCGCAGCTATTCTGGGAGTTTGGAGAGGACAAACTTTCTAATGAAGGGGGAGAGTCTGTACAGGCTAAAGTCAAAGGGATAAAGTGCCAGAAACCCCAAAGGATTCTGAAGGTCCTTCAGTTCAGTCTTCCATAAAAGTGAAATAAAGATTCATAATCCTTTCCCAGCTAACATAAATTCAAGAAGAAAGCTTTCCAGATATAATCTCATAGACTTCTGGACAAAGGAATCCCTTTTCTTATTTATTCAAATGTTTACTTAGTATTTACCATGTGCTGGGTACCATTCTAGGTACTGGTGATATAGCACTGAACAAAATAGGATTCCTGCTTTATGAACTTGTATTCTGCTATGTGATGAAGAATCTTTGAAATTTTGTTGTTCCCTTCCTTAATCTCTCTTGACAAAGCAAGCTATGGGGCTCCAGTTATCTTTGCTACTAAAGATTTTCATGAATCAGAATTTTCAGGACATGTTGCCGAAAGAAACAAAGTTGAGACGCATGACATGTCAAAGATAACACATCAAAGGTTACTTTATGATTTTATCTCATTATCAACAAAATGATAATAGCCATCTATTTATTTCTGAACAAGATTAACATTTATATTTCTGAATAGACAATTTGGATTAGTTTCCCTCTTTTTCATGAACTAGACATTAATTTGTACCAAAAAAAAAGAAATATATTATGGTAAAGATGTTTTAAATATTCTATGTGAAGACAATCAAGTTTCAATCCAATGAAATAAACTTTATGCAAAACAGTATGTGCATATACATATTTGCATTTTCCTAAGGACAGAACCCATAGATTCCATTACAACCTTAAATGCATTTGTGACTCCAAAGGGGAATGAGGGAAGATAGTTAAGAAACTGTGCCCTAAGAATCCCCCTATCTTGCAAGGTGTAGCAACTTCTAGTGAAGCTACTCATCACACTTTTTTCATCTGTCACATTCAGTAGGAGGCACACAGTCTACGGTTGTGGAATAACTAACTTACGTTAGGTTAAACTACCAGCATGATGTGAACACCTGTTTTTCCAGGAAATTATGGCTTTTGTAATGAGTGATATGAGAAACTAGCAAGACGCATCAGCAATCATCTCCACTCTCATAGGATTTCTAGTATAGATCAAAAGACTGGACTTAATCATAAAAAGGAAATGTAAGAAATGCCATATAGCAATTTCTTAAAATGTGAGTGGCACATGAATATGATGCCATGGAACATTTAATCTCAATAATGAAAAGACATCCTTTTTCAATTCTCCTCAACTTCTATATAAGACAAGAGTCTCAGTTTGGGGCTAATATGTCCTTAATACCGCTCTCCCTTACTAATCCCCTTTTTTACAGGAAGTAGACCTCAGGCTCAGAGACTTCCAAGCAAAGAATCTTCAGCTAGAATTATTTTTAAGATCTCATCACATGTCACTTGCATTTTTACATTTATATGAAGTGTAATATATATAACTTGAACTAATCCTAAATTCACAGCTTGATACACTTTTATAAACACATGGATGGATTTATATAACCATTGACAGATTAAGATACAGAACATATCTATCATCCAGAGAGCTCTTTTTTGCCCTCTTCCAATCAATACCCCTCTCTAGTTGTAGCTAGTATCCTGACTTCTGTTTCCATAGATTAGATTTTCCCATTCTTGACTTTTACAGAAATTGAATCATATAGTTCATATCCTTGCCTCTTTTATCTGTCACATCTTTGATATTCGTGCAGTTGGATGTTATAATTGTTTGTTCTTTTTTGTTGTTGCTGGGTAGCATTTCATTGTGTAGATACACCACAACTTCTCTGTTGTACCAGTGTGTACATTTGAATTGTTTCCAGCTTTGGGCTATTATAAATAAGGCTGCCATAAACATTGTTTTCTTTTCACTAGAATTTAAGAACAGTATTTTGGTTTCATCGCATTCATTATGGTTGCTTCTTATTTAAGGCAAGTAATTCTGGTTATGTGTTTTGGGTGCATTTAGGGTAGTATGGCTGTAGGCTGGTTATCTATTTCAAATAGCAATAAAATAGTTCATTTTAAACTTAATTTAAAAAAACAAAATTTCTAGAACATTGTAAATAAATAATTGTATATTAAGGAATGTATTTCTTCAATTTCATGAATGCAGCAGTCAAAAGACCAATGAACTATTCTAAGACAGTTTGTGAAATTATTCTAAGACAACAATAATTGGTTGTTAGAAACTGAAAGATTTTGAAAGTAAATACTGGGGGAATTTAGCAAACAAATGGGTTCCAAGGGGCTGGAATAAATGCAAAGCCTTTGGGGTTCACTAAAGTGTGAATACTTTGAGGGAGGGAATGACATCTTATTCACACTGATGTGCACATCACTCTGAAGAAATACCTGGTCCCAAAGACAGTCTTCATTAAAACTTGTTTCATATGAACAGGCTATATAGCTCTCCATACCTCAGGAATAGTGCAAGATAGCCAAGAAGAAGACACAGAGAGTACCCCAAGCAGGGGAGTAATATGAAAAAGGGAACAAGGCAGAGAGAGCAAGTAATGTTCACAGAATATTAAGCAGAACAAATGGACTCCAGAAGATCCTTATAGGGTAGCAGCAAGGGACAGAAGTGAGAAGGGAGGGGCGGGTCTGGGGAGGAGGCAGGAGGTTGAGTTGCAGAACCCACCTCCATGGGATTTAGCCAGACAGTTAATTTTGTAGACTACACACTTGAATGTTTTCCTCACTATGGGAACTTGAAAAACATAAGGTAGCTTATCAGTGAAAAGCAGCTTAAGAAAACTTCTAAAATTTCCATGGTGTGTGGGGGCCTAGTTTGCTCGTCACTCTCCTCTTTTTCGGAAGGGTTTTCTGCAAAGTCCCAGACGTTGATTACCCTTTGCATTCTGTTCTTCATGAGCAGGAATGTTTTCAAAATGAAGCACAAACTGCTGCTGTCTGAGCTGCCTGACTTACACGTTCCAGAAACTTTGCTTCCAGTCAAGAAATTTAGTCTTTGCTTTTTTTTTTTTCCAGCAGAATGTGCCCATGCACATCTCATATTTCATCCAAATGAGAAAGTTCGCTACGAAGAGTTCTCCATAACACAGCTGACATTGGTTTAGATGGGACTAATTAAGTTTAAAGCAGGTCAGAGGTATAAGAAGCTATGGAGCATGAAATACCTTTTCATCAAAAACATATTTTGAAAAGCAGAGAAACTACAAAATTCTGCGTCTCTCATTAGGAGTGTGCTTTATGATGCAAGCAGAAATCTTAAGCTTGCCTCATGGCAACAATTATTCTTGTGGGTCTTAAAAGTCATAATCAGCTTTTCATCTCTGTGAAGCATAAGCTTGAAAATGTAACAAATAATTGCAGCTCATAAACCCTGTAAGCTGATAGGAAATGATCTCACAAGCGCATCAATGTTTAGGAGCAGCGCAGTCTAATACTGGCTCAGGGTCTCATCAAAGCAAGGTGTTGACTCACATGCACATTGGGTATCACAGCCATGACCTGGAGCTACCATGTGCATTGCCACAAAGGCAGTACCTGTAGAGTTTCTTTTTAGGAATTGCTGAGCTTCTCCTACTCTGAATTATATGAACCAAGGTAAAATATTTCATTTATACCCAACTGTCATGACACAGATAAGGAAACTGAGGTGAGGAAGGTGCTTCAAAGGTTCTTCCAACTTTAACATTTCAGCTTGTAGTCCTGCTTGTGTATTGAGAAAGCGGGCATCTCAAAGGAAGCTCTTTTAACTCAGTAAATATAAGTCTTTCGGAGATACATTTCTGAGTAATGTGATGGTTAATTTTATGTGTTAACTTGACAGGGCTAAGGGACACCCAGATAGCTTATTATTTCTAGGTGTGTCTGTGAGGGTGTTTCTGGAAGAGATCAGTGTTTGAATTGGTGAACTGAGTAAAGCAGATGGCCCTCCTCAACGTCAGTGAGCATCATCCAATCCATTAGATCCAGAAGGGTCCAAATAGAACAGAAAGGCAGTAGATGAATTTCCTCTCTTCTTGAGCTGTAACATCCATTTTCTCTTGCCTCAGACGTCGACACTCTGGTTCTCAAGCCTTCAGACTCAAACTTAATTATACCACCAGCCTTCCTGGTTCTCCAGCTTGCAGAGGGCAGATTGTGGGATTTCTCAGCCTTATAATTGCCTATTTCTATAACATATATATTGTGTCGTATAATATATATTATTACATATTATATTATCGCATGTATTATATAATATATATCTGTAACTATATTAGTATTTCATAATAGCATTTCATATATATGCTATTGGTTCTGTTTCTCTGGAGAATCCTAATACACAAGTAATAATAATTATTATCATTATTTCATGTTTCGCACAAAATGATGATGTTTCTGACGCACCATTTGCAGGGCATGCATTTTGAGCTGATTTTTCAAACGTGCATGAAAGGTTGATATAGGTCTAGTCTTACTGTTTGTTGCCATTTACATGTGACCATCACAAATGCAAAGAGGTTAAAAAATGATTCTGTGATTAAAAAACAAGTTTGAAACAGCTTGCCTATTAATCCTGTAACTCCATTTACCCCCAATTTCTTCAACCAGATTTTCCTCTCTTTTGCCACAGCCTTTGCCCCATCCAAAACTTCAACAAGCATTATTATTGTCCTGTCAAACTTTGAAAGTGCTGCTTTGCACTGTATTATAAAAAAACAAGAGGAGAGGTCAAAACCTGTTGGAAAAGCCTGTTTTGCATACCAAATAATTTGTTTTGGTGAGTAGTAGATTCCTAGTCTTTTCCTAAGAATCGGACAAGAAAAAACAGATTTAAATAAGGTAAAAACATAACATTTTGGGGAAAATTTCAGATTGAATTACATAGCCAAAGGTAGTTTGAATTATCTCCTGAAATTGTGAAATAACTAAATGAGGAAATCACATACACACACACAAAAGCAAATGGCTGATAAATACACAAGACTATATTCTGCCTCATCCATAATCTAAGCAGTACAAATTTAAACAAAAATGAGACACAATTACTTATTCTATAAGACTGGCCAAGATTTAAAAGAATCTAAGGACAAGTGACTAAAGGAGTGTAAATTGATATCACTTTCATGATGGACAATTGGTTATATGCATAAATCCCTCCAAAAATGCATATTTTATTTGACTTAGACATCCTGCTTCTTAGAATGTATCCTAATGAATTAATCTGACAAATGCACAAAGACGTATGTGCAAGTTGTTTATTGTAGTGCAATTTATAATATTAAAAATTAAAAATTTCATTAAATTTTGTTACAATTGGTGAACCTACACTGACACATCATTATCATCCATTATACTATAATGGAAGATGCATGTCTTTATACATTTGCCTAAACCCATAGATGTACAGCACCAAAAATGAATCCTAATGTAAACTAAAATTATTTGTTAATTTATTAATTATTAACAGTTCATTAGGAACTGTTAGCACTTTATGGCACAGGGGGGAAGGGAATATAACATTATAACATTTTTATTGACGATGTTTTTTGAATAAGAGAGTTTAATTGTAAAATAGTAGAACTCTTTTATTGTTGGTACATAATACTTGAACATACTCATGTGGTACATGTGATGTTTTGGTACATGTGTACAACACGTGATGATCAAATCAGGATATTTAAGATATCCATAAACTCAAATATCTGTTATTTCTTTGTGTTGGGAACATTTCAAATCTTCTAGCTATTTTGAAATATATAATAAACTGTTGTTAACTATACTCACCCTACTGTGCTATCAACAGTGGAACTTGCCGTTTCTATCTAGCTGTATATTTGTGTCCATTAACTGACCTCTTTTCACATCATTCTCCACCTTTCCTAGTCTCTGGTAACTATCATTCTTATCTCCAGAACATCCAAAAGACCCATAAGATCAACTTTCTTAACTCCCACAGTGTTAGAATGTACAGTGTTTTTCTTTCTGTGCATGGCTTATTTTACTTAACATAATGTCCTCTAGTTCCATCTATGTTGCTACAAATGACAGGATTTCATTCTTTTCTATGGCCGAATAGTGTTCCATTGTGTATATCACCACATTTTCTTTATGCATTCATTTGTTGCTGGGCATTTAGGTTGAATCCATATCTTGACTATTGTGAATAGTGCTGCAATGAACATGGGGGTGCAGGTATCTCTTTGATATACTGATTCCTTTCCTTTGGATAAATGCCCAGTATTTATGGGATTTTATCCCATAAATTGCTGGATCATATAGTAGTTCTATTTTTAGTTTTTTGAGAAAACTTCATACTATTTTTCATAATGACTATACTAATTTACATTTCCACGAAAAGTGCATAAAAATTCCCATTCCTCCACATTGTCTCCAGCATTTGTTTTTCTTTGTCTTTCTGATAATAACCATTCTTACTGGGGTGACATTATTAGTTTTGCAGTATATTTTGAAGTCAGGTATTTTGATGCTTCTGGCTTTGTTTTCTTGCTCACTACTGCTTTGGCTATTCAGGGTCTTTTGTGGTTCTACACAAATTTCAGGATTGTTATTTCTATTTCTCTGAAGAATGTCTTTAGTATTTTAATGGAAATTGTATTGAATCTGTAGGTGTTAAAATTTAATTATACTAATTCTTCTGATCTATGAACATGCGATGTATTTCCAATTGTTTGTGTCCTCTTCAATTTCTTTAATTAGTTTTTTGTAGTTTTTCTTGTAGAAGTCTTTTACCTCCTGGCTTAAATTTATTTATTTAACAAAGTATTTAATTATTCTTTAGCTGTTATAAATGAGATTGTTTTCTTGATTTCTTTTTCAGCTAGTTTGTTATTGATGTGTAGAAATGCAACTAATTTTTGTGTGTTGATTTTGGGTCCCACAACTTTACTGAATTTATCAATTCTAAGAGGTTTTTGGTGAAGCCTTTAGGCTTTTCTCTATATATAAAACCATGTTTCTATATATATAAAATCATGTTCTGTATATATAAAATCAAGAAGGACAATTTGACTTCCTATTTTCTAATTTAGATGCCTCTTATTTCTTTCTCTTGATTGATCGTTCTGTCTAGGACTTCTAGTACTTTGCTGAATAGGAGTAGTAAAAGTGGGTATCCTTGTCTTGTTCCAATTTTTAGAGTAAGGCTTTCAGCTTTTCCCCATTCACATGACCTTTATTATGTTGAGGTACATTCTGTCTGTGCCTAATATGTTGAGAGTTTTTATTAAGGGATGTTGAATTTTATCAAATGCTTTTTTTTGCATCTCTTGAGATGATCATATGGTTTTTGTCCTCCATTCTGTTGATGTGATGTATCACACTTACTGATTTGCATATGTTGAACCATCCTTGCATTCCTGGGAAAAATCCCACTCAATTATGCCACATTCTCTTTTTAATATATTGCTGGATTAGGCTTGCTAGTATTTTGTTAAGAATTTTGACGTATATGTTCATCAGGGATATTGGCCAATGGCTTTGTTTTTTGTTCTGTCCTTGTCTGGTTTTGCGATCAAAGTAATGCTAACCTCATAGTATAAGTTAGAAAAAAAATTTTCTCTACTTCAACTATTTGGAATAGTTTGAGAAGAATTAGGGCTAATTCTTCTATATATGTTCGTAGAATTCAGCAGTAAAACCATTGGTCCTGGACTTTCCTTGTTGAGAGACTTTTTATTACTGATTCAATCTCACTACTTATTATTGGTATGTTCAGATTTTCTTTCTTCCTGTTTCAATCTTGGTAAGTTGAATGTGTCCAGGAATTTATACATTTCCTCTAGATTTTCCAATTTATTAACAGATAGTTGTTCGTAGTAATCTCTATGTTCCTTTGTATTAGTATCAGTATCTGTAGTATTAGTATCTGTATCTGTAGTATTAGTTTTAAGGTTTCCTTTTTCCTTTAATTTATATGGGTCTTCTCTCCTTTTTTCTTAGTATAACCACTGCTTTCTCAATTTTGTTTACTTGTTCTAAAAGCAACTTTTTGTCTCATCGATCTTTAATATTGTTTCTTTATTCTCTAATTTGTGTAGTTTTGCTTTGATCTTTATTGTTTTTCCTTCTAGTAATTTTGGGTTTGGTTTATTATAGCCTTCCTAATTCTTTGAGGTATATTATTTGGTTGTTTATTTGAAGTCTTTCTCTTTTTTTTGATGTGGGTGCTTACTGCTATAAATTTCCTTTTTAGCATTGCTTTTGTTGTATCTCATAGGTTTTGGTATGTGATTTTTCATTTTTATTTTTTTCAAGAAATTTTTTTATTTACTTCTTTTTTTTTTTTTTTTTTTTTAAATGGAGTCTCGTTCTGTCACCCAGGCTGGAGTGCAGTGATGTGATCTTGGCTCACTGCAACCTCCGCCTCCCAGGTTCAAGTGATTCTCCTGCCTCAGCCTCCCAAGTAGCTGGGACTACAGGTACCCACCACCATGCCCAACTAATTTTTGTATTTTTAGTACAGACAGGCTTTCATCATATTGGCCAGGCTGGTATTTACTTCTTTTTTTTTTTTTTCCAGAAACATATACACTTTATTGAATGCCATTGTAGAAAAGTGTGTGAGGATAAAGGGCGGATACAGGACTCGGCTCCGGGGGCAGGGCAAGGAATGGAAGGTGGAGCACGTGGGATACAGGTTATGGGCAGAGCTCCTGGCCTGAATGATGTCTCCTGATCTATCAATAGGCTTGCAAGATCAATACTGGGATGACGATGAGCAGAATGGTCATGAGGATGCCCAAAATCAGGGCCCAGATGTTCAGGCACTTAGCGGTGGAAGCATAGGCCTAGGCCCCAGTCAGGTCACCAGCCATCTTCCTGTCCCTAGACTTCACAGAGTAGGAGAATGCTATGAAGCCCAAGCAGCAGGGGTTCATGAAGAGCATGAAGAGCATGAAGAGGGTGTTGAACAGGGACCAGACGACATGGTCAGGCACGGAGGTCTCGCTGCAGATGTGGATCACGGTGGACGTCGGGGGAGTAGTGTTGTGGGGCGCCCTCAGCACAGCCACCTCGTGCTTCTCCTTGAGCATCTCATAGTTGGGTGGCTGGCCACTGTTGATAGGAGAGAAGAAGGTTTGGACTGTATGGTTCATGGTGTCCTGCAAAGGCCAGCAGTGGTCGGGTTAGTGGGATGGTTCTCAGTCAGGTCAGCTGCATTGTTTCCCTTTCCTCCTGTGCCTGGGAGGTTCCCTGTCACTTTCCTGCTAAGTTTCAGTGTTCTCTCTTAGACACCCTAAGCCCCTATTCAGTGTGTGGTTTATCTACTGGCTGTTTCAGTCCTTCTTTGTGGAGGCAGCTAGTGCTGGGTGCCTCTAGTAGTTATCTTGACCCTTCATGTTTAAAGACCCTTTTGTTCTTAGCACATTAAACACCTGTTGAGTTGTATCACATTCTAAAATGGTCAGTTAACTAAGTACATTTGAAAAGAGAAAGGAAAAAGCATTTTCGCAGATTTTCATTTACTGGAGGCTGATGGACATGATCCTATTGACTCATGGATTACCCCATCCCCACCCTGCTTTGTTTATGTAAATATGTTTCTTTAGGGAGGGGACCTGGGGGCAGTGAACAGAGCTCCCTCTTCTTTGACTCTTGTTAGTATCTAGAGCCACTTTCTGATTCAAGTTTCTCCAAAAACAGAAATTAATTCCTCTCATTCAAAATTACATAACTTTCTTAAATTCACTTTCTCTCTCAGAAACACTCAGAAGTGTTTATCTCAGCTGTGTCTTATGTGGTTAGAAAAAAAATGTGCACCCGATATGCCCGTAGAAAAATATTCAATAACAAAGGAAGTATTTTCTCTTTCTCTGCATATGAATTTGATTCTCTGAGCATGGCCCTCAGGAGCAAAATGAGTTTGGTGAATTGGAGTCACTGAGTGTAAGAGCCTGGGTTGCTCAAGTGTGACTCACCAATGTCTCGATGACCCTGTCATCCTTATTTATGCACATCCTTATTTATGCCTTCCACATTTTTTTGGAGTCTCCAAAATATGCTTTGCATTGCTGTGATGGCTGTCATCATTGGAAAACAATGAATATTTTACAAATAGAAGTAGTCCTATTTCTGTCATTGGACTATACCTACTTCTGTGACACATCCCTGCTTCTGTATTAAATCTAAATCTCAAAAAATAACTTAGAGACTTAGGCTATCCCATCAAAATCAAAACACAAAAGAAAAATGGGGTAGAAATATTCTAGAACAGAATATCATGGTTACTGAAATGTTTCTTGCTGGTTTTCTGAAGAAAAGCTTTAGTAATTCTTTTATTGTTAAGACAAACTTAACCGTACAATTCTGACTGCTCCCTTATTTCCTAGGGATGATTTAACTTCACCCTTCCATTTCTGAAGCCTGTGGGATTTTCTAAAATGTAGTGCAAACAATCAGTCAAAGAAAGCATTCAACCAAAGGAGAAAACACCAAGGATCCGCTTTCATGGTAATGTTGCTCAAAGGGATAAAAAGTGAAACTTAGACTAAAATCGCTCATCTTTATTCAGATTGAAAAAGACAGGTTTTAAATCTTCCAAATTCAATGTGTTACAGAAAGACTGTGAGTTTACAAGTTAGCAAATGTGTATCCTCTCAGTTATTTAGCTGTCTGAACTTCAACAAGAGATTCAAACTTTTTGGGCCTCAGTTTCTTTTTTTTTTTTTTTTTTTTTGTAAAAGAGGAAAATTAATGCTTGCTTCATTTGGTTCACATAAGGAATGAATAAGAGTTAATATTTAGCCCCTGTACCAGTTATCTATCACTAAGTAACAAACACCCCAACATCATTTCTCACAAATCTCTGGGATGGCTGGTGGTCTCACACAGGCTTGCTCTTGTGGTTGTATTCATCTGGTGGGTCAGCTGGAGCTGGAGACTCTGTGTTGACATTGCCCATGTGTCTGAGGCCCTGATGCCAACGGTTGGAAGTCTAGGACCTCTCTCTTCACATGGTTCCTCATCATTCAGTAGATTAGCCCACCTTTATATGGCATTTAAGTTCCAAGAAAGTGAAGGCAGAGGCTTCAAGGCATCTTGAGGCTCAGGCTCAAGAGTTCCCAAAACACCACATCAGCCACATTCTACTGGTTAAAGCAAGTTAGAATGCTAACTAAGATTCAAGGTGGAGAAATAATAGCTACCACTCAATGGAAAGTGCTCTGGTCTCAGTGTTTGTGTCCTATCGAACAGATATGTTGAAATATTAACCCCCAAAGTAATGGCATTAGATTGTAGAGACTTGAAAGGGTTATTAATTCTTGAAGATCGTGCCCTCATTGAGGTTAGTGCCTTATAAAAGAGACTCCAGAGAGTGAATTCACCCCTCCCAAAATGTGAGGACATACCCTAAAGGTACCATCTATGAACCAGGAAGTAGGACTTCGTTGAACACTGAATCTGCTGGCACCTGACACCTTGGTCTTGGACTTCCCAGTCTCCAGAACTGTGAGAAAAACATTTTCATTGTTTATAATGATATTACGATGTTTTGTTATAGCAGCCCAACCAAAACAGGAAGAATGGCAGTATTATATTGCAAATAAGCGTGAATATAGAGAATGTTATTCATTAAAGCCATTATTATAATACACTCCCTCTTGTATTATAGTCTGTGGGCCCTGTTTTCAAATTCTATAAAGTCCCATCCTGGCTAACATGGTGAAAGCCCATCTCTACTAAAAAATACAAAAAACTAGCCGGGCGAGGTGGCGGGCGCCTGTAGTCCCAGCTACTCGGGAGGCTGAGGCAGGAGAATGGCGTAAACCTGGGAGGCGGGGCTTGCAGTGAGCTGAGATCGCGCCAATGCACTCCAGCCTGGGCGACAGAGCGAGACTCTGTCTCAAAAAAAAAAAAAAAAAAATTCTGTAGTTTAGGAGAGTCTTTTATAATCCTATTGATTGGAAACTATAGTAAATTATTACAGTAATGGCACCCAGTGAATCACATACCTTTTCATATTCATGCCTTTATGTATTCCCCTTCCGAGTAGACATTGGACTTGGCCATGCGAATTGCTTTGGCCAATGGAACATCAGCAAATGTAACACAAATAGAAGCTTCAGAAGGTCATGTACACTGGAGCTTGTTCTCTTGAACACTTCGAAACTGCAATGCCATAAAAAACCTGGGATGAAAAGCGACTGTAGAAAGAAGAGTGCAGCTGGGCCCAGGTTGCAGAAGTTCTACCAGCCAGATACAGCTATACGAGTGAGCCCAGGTAAGACCAGCAGAAAGGACACCCAGTCAACCCACAGAATCGTACCTAAATGGCACTTGTTTTAAGCCACTGAGCTTTGAGGTACACAGCAATATATAACTGAAATACAAACTAAAAATATTCTAGCCAAAGGGTAGCCTGTAACAACTGCCAGATACTAGCTTCACTACAAAATCACTAAGTCATTTCATGGTTTTAGACATAACATAGCGATAATATAATTAAGTGATCTTTAAAATAACTTTTAACTATAGAATTCTTTTTAAAAACAACTTCTTATCAGATATTTAAAACAAAGAGGCATCTTATTAGAATAAATTCATTTTATTGGTTCAAATTTATGGCATTTTGCTTATAAAGCCAATTAATGAAAACACAATTCCGTTTTCTTTCATACAAAATTATAAATCCAGGCTCATAAATGGCAGTGAAAGACTTCTTGCAGTTTTAGCTTACAATTAGTCAATGTTTTCTTTTAGCAATATGGCATAAAGAAAATCCTCATTCAAGACAGACAAGTACTTATAAGTGTTAGTGTCATTTCAGCACTTGCCTTGGAGTCTCAGGATATTGAATGGTCAGGAGAAGCATTATAACTTACTCCTACTTGGAAAAATATGAACCCATCAGTCCAAGTAAATACATTGATTGAAGTCCTCTGATGAGTTTATATTTTAAATATATTACATTTAAAGATTACCATCTTTAAAAAGTTTAAAATCTATGTAAAAACTTAAATTCAAATTGAATGTTTGTAGAGCCCTTGAAGAACCTTGATGGCACTCTGCCATTCTTGGCAATTTATTTTGCGAATTACTATAACACTTGGAAACTGGTTTTGCTTTGTCGTTGATTTTGTTCAAAACTGAGGAAAGTGGATTGGGCATTTTAAAATAATGATTTCTCCCATCTTTCAAGTGTCAGTGCATTCTCAAAACCATTTGCTGGACTCTTTAAAGAACATTCCTGCTGGTTTCATTTTTTATTTCTCAAGAATTTTTGTTAAAAATCAACAACAAAAACGAGAAAAAAAAAAAAACAAAAACCCAGGGAAAGGAACTGCCTTGCAAAAGAAATGTCACCATTAAAACTGAATGGTATTTGTCAGCTCATTTGTGTGAACTGGCAGTCTACTTGAGACTTCAGCAGGGGGTCTGCACTTCTTCATTAGTTCAGCCAGCAAGAACATGCTCTCTCGAAAGCTTTGGTTTGCCTTCACCACTGCTTTTGCCAGGGCTGACAGTTTAGCAACAGAAAGCTGTGTGCTCTTCATCTAATTTTAATGAAGCTTTTCCTTTCAAAAGGAAAACCTGACAACAAAGAAGTCTTCAAGGAAGCCAAGTAATTCAACCACCTGACTAAATTTCTAGAAGAAAACAGAGGGTTCCGTTAAGGGTGTGGAATAATCAAAGCAGCCATTGCTTTGCTCCTACAGTACAAGTCCCAGTAGCACAATGGAAATAACTGAATTGTTGAGCATTTCAAGACCCATCAGTAGTGAGACATATCACAAATATGTGGAAGAAATTTACATCTACAATATAGAAAACTGGGATTTTAAAATTACTTCTGCCCAGGTAGAGGGGGAGTAGAAGAAAAGGCAGAATGGAAAATGTCAGGGATTCCTTCCTTCCTTCATTCATTCATTTATTCTACTAGTATCTACTGAGCTACTATTGATGTGTAATCACCAGGCTCAGCACCCAGGATACAGCAATATGTGAGACAGACACAGTTTCCAGCCCTCTGGGGAGTTATACCTACAAAAGGACAAACAGTGGAAAAAGCAAGAAGAAGACATTCAGAGGAAAATTTTTGGAACTCTGAGGCCCGTTCTGGATGATATATGGACTCTGACTATTTGGGACACATTTGTAATTTCTGTTTAATTCTTACTCACATCTACTATATATCAAAGGTCAAATAGAAGTTCTAAGGTGAGGTAAGGATGTCACTGAGGTACAGCTCTTTGGCCTTCTGGTAAGGTGCCCCCACAGGTGAATTCATGGATATTCAGATACGATTTGCAGGCTAACAACTCTGAATTGTTAGCACCTTGAGAAGAGAAACTGTCCATAAGGACAGAAACTTCTTACCAAGATCACAGGAGTAATGTGTAAACCAGAATGGCAATTAATTAATTAATTTACATGGAAACACAACTGTTAGACAAATCAGCTCAAATAATATATTATCTTGCAGCAGATAGAACTACATGAGAAACCAGACTACGATGAGAAAAATTCTAGGTGGCATTCTCCACTAAGACATGAGACCAACTTTCTTACTACAAGGACAGTCTTACTTATGAGATTGTATAGTAGCTGTTTTTGTTTGTTTGTTCTTTTGTCCACCACCCACGGCATCTTTGTTTATTTTTTTATTTTTTATTTTTTTATATACTTTAAGTTCTGGGATATACGTGCAGATATGCAGGTTTGTTACATAGGTATAAATGTGCCATGGTGGTTTGCTGCACCCATCAACCCATCATCTACATTAGGTATTTCTCCTAATGCTATCCCTCCCCTAGCCCCCAACTCCCCAACAGGTCCCAGTGTCTGATGTTCCCCTCCCTGTGTCCATGTGTTCTCATTGTTCAACTCCCACTTATGAGTGAGAACATGGAGTGTTTGGTTTTCTGTTCTTGTATTAGTTTGCTGAGAATGATGGTTTCCAGCTTCATCCATGTCCCTCAAAGGACATGAACTCATCCTTTTTTACAGCTGCATAGTATTCCATGGTATATATGTGCCACATTTTCTTTATCCAGTCTATCATTGATGGGCATTTTAGTTGGTTCCAAGCCTTTGCTATTGTGAACAGTGCTGCAATAAACATACATGTGCATGTGTTTTTATAGTAGAATGTTTTATAATCCTTTGGGTATATACCCAGTAATGAGATCACTGGGTCAAATGGTATTTCTACTTCTAGATCCTTGAGGAATCACCACACTGTCTTCCACAATGGTTGAGCTAATTCACACTCCCACCAACAGTGTAAAAGCATTCCTATTTCTCCATATCCTCTCCAGCATCTGTTGTTTCCTGACTTTTTAATGATCACCATTCTAACTGGTATGAGATAGTATCTCATTGTGGTTTTGATTTGCATTTCTCTAATGACCAGTGATGATGAGCTTTTTTTCATATGTTTCTTCGTCACATAAATGTCTTCTTTTGAGAAATGTCTGTTCATACCCTTTGCCCACTTTTTGATGGGGCTGTTCGTTTTTTTCTTGTAAATTTGTTTAAGTTCTTTGTAGATTCTGGATATTAGTCCTTCGTCACATGGATAGATTGCAAACATTTTCTCCCATTCTACAGGTTGCCTGTTCACTCTGGTGATGTTTCTTTTGCTGTGCAAAAGCTCTGTAGTTTAATTAGATCTCATTTGTCAATTTTGGCTTTTGTTGTCATTGCTTTTGGTGTTTTAGTCATGAAGTCTTTGTCCATGCCTATATCCTTAATGGTGTTGCCTAGGTTTTCTTCTAGGGTTTTTATGGTTTTAGGTCTTATGTTTAAGTCTTTAATCCATCTTTCTTGAGTTGATTTTTATATAAGATGTAAGGAAGGGGTCCAGTTTCAGTTTTCTGCATATGGCTAGCCAGTTTTCCCAATTGTATGGTAGCTCTTGATTTTGGGTCTCCAATGCTTGTGCTATCAGCCCACCTCCTATTTGGCGACCGAAAACACTCCTGTTACCATAAACGTAGGAATAGCCATGCTTAGCTAATCAAGGCAGTCCATGATGGGGTGAGTGGTGAGCAATGAGACTGTGGAGCGCCTGGCTGTGGCCCCTGTAGGATAGTGAGGTGAAGCTGGTCTTATAATCACTTTACATTTTGGGGAGAACAGACTAGAACAGGGCCAGAGTGTGTGAAAAACCCTTTGACCAGATATAATGGTCACCTGGCATATGATTGTGGCAATGAGCATGAGAGAAATAAAGATTCCAGAGCTAGAGGGTAAAATCTCCAGGACTTGAGGAAAGTTGACTGCAAGAGGCAAGGGCGAGAAATGTCAGGGGCAGATTCTAGGTTTCAAGCTTGTTTGTGGAATTGGTAGAGAACAGTTCCATTGAGTGAGAGAGGAAGCTGGAAGAGCCCTGGGTGAAGAACTGTCAAAGGCACTTGAACCAAAGCAACTCCATCTTGAATAGGGGCCGGGTAAAATAAGGCTGAAATCTACTGGACTGCATTCCCAGACAGGCTTTCTAAGTCACGGGATGAGTTAGAAGGTCGGCACAAGACACAGGTCATAAAGACCTTGCTGTTAAAATAGCTTGCAGTAAAGAAGCCGGCCAAAACCCACCAAAATCAATGTGGCAATAAGAAGGACTTCTGGTCGTCCTCACTGCTACACTCCCACCAGCACCATAACAGTTTACAAATGCCATAGCAACATCAGGAACTCACCCAGTATGGTCTAAAAAGGGGAGGCATGAAAAACACATGCCTTGTTTAGCATGTAATCAAGAAATAACC